AGGAGAGGCGAAACAGCTCCCGGGGAGCAATTAAAGGAGAGGCGAAGCCCAAGACACCAATTCTTCGCTCCAAAAAACAAAAAGGAGGCCTCCAAAAAAGACACACCAGACAACACCGACACACCCTCCCTCTACGAAGAGGAAGAGGAGGAGAAGAGGCGAAGTCACCTCTTGCGCTTCCCAGGGCGCTGAGGAGGAGGGGATGAGGCAGAGGAGGGTGGAGGGAGAGGAGGGGAGGAGGGATGGGAGAAGTCTGGCCAAGGACCAGGGGCAATACGCTCCCCCTTGATGGGGGAGTCCTTCTCGGCGAAGGCAATCTCTTCTTCAGTCGCGAACCCTCCTGGAAGGCCGGACGGCTTGGGGGCCCGGTACCTTTCCAGGAGGGCAAGAAGACCGGAAACGTCGGGCAGCTGATCAGGCATGTTGGTGGTGATTGTGATGGCGGTGATGGTGATGGTGGTGGTTGTGAGGATAAGGAATGACAGACTTGCACAGAACTTGGACAGAAGCCATACCTAGGTAGCGTAAGTTTTTGCCTCAGGAGTCAATTTAATTCGCGTTTTGTGGAAGGCGCAGTAAAGAACAACTGGGAGGGAAAGAGTCAGTTGAACGTCGTCAGTGACACCCTCAGAACCGACTTAGGAGAGACGAAAGAGGGCCAGAACGAGAGCAATCCTCTTGTCAACATCCTTCCAATGATGCCCTCAACTGATACGCGACTAACCTTGGTAGGCGAGGGGAAAGAGGCTTAAGATCCATCCCGTATCACTTTCACAGCACGATCTCTTCCGTTTGCCAGAACTAGGTCCATGCACATAGAGAAAAATGATATTACGTTGAATGCCATCATATTGGTAGTACCAAAACCTCCAAGAATATGGTTTGTATGGTTCCCTATTGCAGACCATAAAAAAATGTCTTGTTTTGCTGGATACCATGTACAGAGATGGTTCAATGGTCGGCATGAGTTGTTAGCAGGAATCATACTTGCAAGCAGTGGTCTATATAATATGTTAATTTATGTTACTCGCGAGCAGGCAGCAATTGAAACTCACAATCCGTTGTGAAAGCAATTTTAAGCCCATCATGGCTTGCTCTTGTTGATTGTAGTATACAGTGAATGGTTTACAGTGCAGTCTTTATGGTCACAATAGAGTGCCATATCGCTTGGTCAGACTCGACGGCTTTTTATGAGCCTGGTGGCTTCGCCAACAACGAGCCGTCAAACAGTACAATTTGGCGACCTGGGGAATAACATTTAGATAAATAAAGCATCGCCTTTGAAGCCATTGTTCAATGTGTCAGACTTTTAATCTCAAAGTCAGGAGTGAGAGTGTTGTCTAGGGATAACTTAAAGGAAACAGAAGGAGGAAGGTGTAATGCTTTTCGCACCTGCCGCAACTGCAAATCAAATGCCAACTATTGTGCTCCTTCCCTCAACAAATCAGCATCCCGCGTGACGCAATTGGTTAGCGTGTCAGACTTTTACAAAACATTGAAATCTGAAAGTTACGAGTTCGAGTCTCGTCGTGGGAGTTTTTTTGGATTTTTTGGATATTTTTCTCTTATGCTCCTCGCCAAGGAGAATTGATTGCAATACTTTTCATGTCGATCCGACGCGTTTTGATGGAGTTACAAGGATGTGAAGTTTGGTGAGCATATTAAGTAAGTGGGGTGACATGTGAACGCTGGGTCCACTCTTTATTTCTGGCCACGTGACNNGGCATGGTGAATTTAATAAAGACCTTATCTACTTGGTCTGGCTTTCTCAGAAGCTGGCGATAACAGATAGGGTAGTTGGTGCATCGATAAGTAACAGTGTTCTTCTCCTTGTCAACATACTTCTATTAAGTCAATTGAAGTTCCAAGACGCTTTCGGGGAACCTCTGTGAATTTACCAGTCTGGAATTTATGCCACTTGGCGAAGGGGAGAGATGAACTGGAACATTATCAGGCTCATGTCGCATTCATAAGTTGTCGCGACATTCAAGGCATCCGCAGTACAATGCCGAACCGGCTCTCTGTTCCGGCCCCGGGGATCCACTTCGCTTTTTGCTCCGTGCCGAACCCGGCACACAAGATCGATTTGAGATATCAAGAGCTCATATGGTTGAATCAGCCGTGTTATGGGCGGTCACTGCAGAGCTCGGGCATTTCGCGTGTGCTTGGCATAGGCCTTGAAGAAAAAATAAAAGGGAGCCGACCGGTGATCTCACACCCAAAACAGCCCGGCGGTGGTTTTTGGCGTCCACCAACAGTCAAAAATATCAGAACAAATGAATCGCAAAAAATGAAATGCTTCATAGCAGCTACT